CTACTACCTTCGTCGTAGCTAAATTTTAATTATTATACCTAATAGAGATTTATATATTTAATATATATCTCTTAAGAGGCTTTAGTAGTAATATTAACCTATTGTTTAGAGTTTAATAGAGTCTTGTAGAGGTCTACTTAAATCCTTTCATTTTATACTTTAACTATAAAGTTAAATTTTTTTTAATAGCTAATTCTAGTAGGTTAGAGTGTAGCCTACTATTCTTTTCTAAGATAATTAATCTAATACGCTTTATAATACATAAAAGAAAAAAGTTAAGTAATAAGTTAGTATAGAATTAAGTCACTACTTATATAACACTCTATACTAATATCTACTTATATTATAGTAAATCTACTCTATACTATATCTACTTATTTACTACTATACTATTATTATATACTTCAACTATATAGTTGATTTTATTAATATCTAATTCTAGTAATGTAGAGTATAATCTACTATTCTTTGTAAAGATAAATAATCTAATACGCTATATAGTAAATAAAGGGAAAAAGGATAAGCGATATTATAGATAGTAGTAGAGGGGTAATAGTTTCTTATAGTGTGGGTTCGTATACTCTACGTAAGCTTAAGTATTAGCTACGTAGATAATAATAGAGCTTTATTATCTTGTGCCTACCTTTTAGCAGCGTAGTAAGCGCGTATAGCTGCGTGCTCAGCTCCGTAAGGAGGCCTCCCTAATATAGTCTTGCCTCTAGGAACACCTCGCTCCTATAACGGAGTAACGTATCGCAGCGTAGATTAACAACTGTCTTAGAGATTAAAAAGAGACGCATAATACGAGCATAATTAGCACCTATACTTAAAACTTTTCTCCTCCTTTCCTAGGAATAGCGTAGAGTAAAATACGAAGCAATACTGCCGTTAGTGCGTAGAAACTACCCAAGCAACTAAGCGAAAAACAGGGAGGTGCAGCGACTGCCATGATTGAATTAGGCCGTCGCTAGCTAGTAATCCCAGCATTCGGGAGTAACGACTTGATCAGCTGCCTCTTTCAGATCCGCTGCAGGCTATGCAGTGAAAAGCTTAGCCCTTGCGTAGATAAAGCGCCTACTAGACTGGGCGTAATCGGACCCACAGTTCGATCCAAGACAAGCAGCGGACTACAGGTCAAGACTTTGCCAAGCCATGGCAAGTCCTCAATAGGAAGGCCACATTACACTCCTGGTAGATTAGTCTCGGTATGCCCCACCCGACTCGCAGGGAAGGTTATGCTTGTTGTCTGTACACTATGCCTATAGTCTGTACGTGAGAGTACCACATCCAACTATTAATATCCAGCTGTTGTCCCCTCATTGACAATCATCTGCCAGCTTGTTCAGTCGCCTGTCTCTTCACATCCAGTCGCTTCTACACCAAAGAAAGTATATCAGCTTCTCAAGACCATTCACCATGCGATTCGAACCTCTACTCGCTTTTGCCCTCCCCGCCCTCATTGTGGCTGCTCCTACCCCCCAGTGGGATGATGCTCCCGAGGAGTCCATTGTTGGTGGGACTTCGGCCTCTGCTGGCGAGTTCCCCTTTATTGCCTCTTTGCAACTCAGCGGCAGCCATTTCTGCGGTGGTACTATTATCAACAGCAACACTATCGTAACCGCTGCACACTGTTCCGTCACGAGTCTTATTGGCTCTGTCCGCAACGTCCGCGTCCGTTTGGGCTCTTTGGTAAGTTTCGCTTAATTAATGCCATGGCACATGCAAAAAGCAAAACAAACAGAAGAGAAAATAGAATAAGACATTAATCCGCCTTCTAGAATAACGCCTCTGGCGGCACCACCTCCGCCGTCTCTGCCATCTACGTCCACCCCAACTACATCGACGACGACGAACACCATGACTTCGACATTGCCATCTGGAAGCTGACTACCCCCATCTCCGCCGGTGGCAACATTGCCTACGCTAATCTCGCCGCCTCTGGCAGCGACCCCGCTGCTGGATCCACTGTTACCGTTGCTGGCTGGGGCGCTACCCGCCAGGGCGGCAGCGGTTCCAGCTCTCTCCTCAAGGTCAGCGTGCCCGTTGTTGCACGCAGCACCTGCCAGTCTCAGTACCCCGAGGAGGACATCTCCACCAACATGGTCTGCGCTGGCCAAACCTCTGGTGGAAAGGACTCCTGCCAGGGTGACTCTGGCGGCCCTCTTGTCGACGCCTCTAAGACCCTTGTTGGTGTCGTCTCTTGGGGCTACGGTTGTGCCCAGCCTAACCTCCCCGGTGTCTACTCCCGTATTGGTACTTTTCGCTCTTTTATCAGCCAGTACTCTTCTTAAGAAGCGGTTCTTGTCACAGATAACCTACAAGCATTTTTGTACCTATATCTTGGTATCTGGTGGTCATAAAGGAACACACCTATAAGCGAGCGAAGAAGAGATGGGATAGGAGTGACAGGATGGAAGGCATGCTCTACTTACTTCCATCCTTCCTTCACTTTACAAGCTGTAAATAAGTTCACCTTTGTTCAATGTTAAGTATACAGCTTGATCTCACGACGTTTTTCAAATAGTATAGTTAACTATGTACATATTTAAAACAAACAAACCTAACTATACATACATATTATCTAGGAATTAACGTGTTTCACAAGTGGGAGGACCACTTACCTAGACTATCCCACTATCTTAACTACATTATATAATACTACTATAATCTTTCTTATTAAGTTAAATAAGGGAGTGTTCTTTATAATGTGGCACGATACGTGATTAAGCTTAAAAGATTAGAGGGGCGACCCGCAATCGAGTAGGTAGAATCGAGCTAAAAAGTAATCGTTGTAAAGGGATTAATTAAAGAAGGTCTCTATCTACGTACGAAAGAATACT